ATTATTCATAAAGAGCCCAGACACACTCGCTTCGCCATCAAAGACAAGGCAGAAGTGATCTGACTTACATCTGTGCTCTGCTTTCTGCTCTTCCGATCAAAGTGTCTTCTCTTGCCATGCAGCTGCATAAAAATGAAGAAGCGCTCCATGAACTGATGGAGAAAGATTTCAAGGATATTTTGTTAAAGACAAAGGCAAGATGTCGAAGAGAAGCAGAAGCCCGAACCGCGCGTCTCTTTGCTTGTATTTGCATAAAAGCTTCTGGACGGTGACAGGAAGCCAGAAGAGTCTGTGTCATCACTGTGCAGAGCGGGCAGAATTCAGGGGTGTCACCATTGTTTTAATTGTTCGTTTAGTCACGTTTTCTTATTTTTGAGCCATGCATATATAAAGGAAGGAAGGGAAGGAGGGCCAGGAGGGAAGGGTGGAGGAAAGCAAGGAGGGGGAGGAAGGAAACGGGAGAGGGGAGGTGAGTGAGGAAGCGGGGGACCCAGCCCAGCACCATGTGTGATGCTGGCCACATGCGCACAGCACCTCTAAGCAACCGCTGTCTCCCGTGATCCTACACTCCACGCCTGCTCTTCTCCCTAAAATCCTCTAACTAAAAGTTTGTTTTACAAAGTATGAAACTAGAAGCTATGTCACTGCTTGTCCACTTATTATATTCACTTATAAAGTTATAATTTCTAGGTCAGATTTCAAAATGATTCAAGTGTTTTCTAAAATAACGTTCAAGAGATGGCTATGTCATGACAAAAAGTGGAAAAACATAGCAACATACTCTTTAGAGATTCTTTACAGTATAAAAAGAAGGTGATTTTATATCTTAGCTGCATTTTTTAATATGGCAAAAGAACTACAGAAAATATTTGGGAGTAATGAGGAGTGTAAATATGGCATGTACGTTTTCTGATGTGATTGAAACAATAGTAACTTTCTTTGTTGTTAAAATTACTATTGGGTTATGTAGAAGAATTTTTTGCTCCCTTATAAAATGAATATTGAAGGGTTAGGCGTGAGTAACTGTGACCCCTACAATCCACTTTCAAAAGGTTCAGGAGGATGTTTGAATGTGTGTCTGTGTATGAGAGAGAGCAAACATGTGTGTGTGCAAGTGTGTGAGAGCACATGTGTCACGTGCATCTGTTTGGACACCTGTGTGTGTCTGTGTAGGCCTGTGTGTGTGTGTGTGTGTGTGTGCGTGCAGGCCTTGCTGTGTGTATGTATCCGTGTAGGCCTGTGTATGTGTATGTGTCTGTGTAGGCCTGTGTGTGTGTTTCTCTTAGGCTTCTGAGTGTGTGTGTGTGTACGTGCACATCTCTGTAGGCCTGTTTGTCTGTGTGTGTCTGTGTGTGCCTCTGAGTGTGTGTGCGTATCTATCTGTGTATCCTTGTGTGTGTCTATCTGTGTAGGCCTGTGTGTGTGTGTATCTGTGTAGGCCTGTGTATGTGTGTGTGTGTGAATGTATCTGTGTAGGCCTGTGTGTGTATGTATATATCCGTGTAGGCTTGTGTGTGCATGTGTCCGTGTAGGCCTGTGTGTGTGTGCATGTGTCCATGTAGGCCTGTGTGTGTGTATGTATATCCGTGTAGGCTTGTGTGTGCATGTGTCCGTGTAGGCCTGTGTGTGTATGTATATATCCGTGTAGGCTTGTGTGTGCATGTGTCCATGTAGGCCTGTGTGTGTGTATGTATATCCGCGTAGGCCTGTGTGTGTATGTATATCCGTGTAGGCCTCTGTGTGTGCATGTATATCTGTGTAGGCCTGTGTGTGTGTATATCCGTGTAGGCCTGTGTGTGTGTATGTATATCCGCGTAGGCCTGTGTGTGTATATCCGTGTAGGCCTGTGTGTGTATGTATATCCGTGTAGGCCTGTGTGTGTGCATGTGTCCGTGTAGGCCTGTGTGTGTATGTATATCCGTGTAGGCCTGTGTGTGTGTGTATATCCGTGTAGGCCTGTGTGTGTGTATATCCGTGTAGGCCTGTGTGTGTATGTATATCCGTGTAGGCCTGTGTGTGTGTATGTATATCCGTGTAGGCCTGTGTGTGTGTGTATATCCGTGTAGGCCTGTGTGTGTATGTATATCCGTGTAGGCCTGTGTGTGTGTGTGTATATCTGTGTAGGCCTGTGTGTGTGTATATCCGTGTAGGCCTGTGTGTGTATATCCGTGTAGGCCTGTGTGTGTATGTATATCCATGTAGGCCTGTGTGTGTGTGTGTATATCCGTGTAGGCCTGTGTGTGTGTGTATATCCGTGTAGGCCTGTGTGTGTGTATATCCGTGTAGGCCTGTGTGTGTGTGTATGTATATCCGTGTAGGCCTGTGTGTGTGTGTATGTATATCCGTGTAGGCCTGTGTGTGTATGTATATCCGTGTAGGCCTGTGTGTGTATGTATATCCGTGTAGGCCTGTGTGTGTGTATGTATATCTGTGTAGGCCTGTGTGTGTATGTATATCCGTGTAGGCCTGTGTGTGTATGTATATCCGTGTAGGCCTGTGTGTGTGTATGTATATCCGTGTAGGCCTGTGTGTGTGTGTATATCCGTGTAGGCCTGTGTGTGTGTGTGTATATCCGTGTAGGCCTGTGTGTGTGTGTGTATATCCGTGTAGGCCTGTGTGTGTGTGTGTATGTATATCCATGTAGGCCTGTGTGTGTGCATGTGTCCGTGTAGGCCTGTGTGTGTGTGTGTGTATATCCGTGTAGGCTTGTGTGTGCATGTGTCCGTGTAGGCCTGTGTGTGTGTGTGCATGTATATCCGTGTAGGCCTGTGTGTGTGTGTATATCCGTGTAGGCTTGTGTGTGCATGTGTCCGTGTAGGCCTGTGTGTGTGTGTGTATATCCGTGTAGGCTTATGTGTGCATGTGTCCGTGTAGGCCTGTGTGTGTGTGTGTGTATATCCGTGTAGGCTTGTGTGTGCATGTGTCCATGTAGGCCTGTGTGTGTGTATGTATATCCGTGTAGGCCTGTGTGTGTATGTATATCCGTGTAGGCTTGTGTGTGTGTATGTATATCCGTGTAGGCCTGTGTGTGTGTGTATATCCGTGTAGGCCTGTGTGACTTGTACTCACCAGTACTCGGCAGTGGGCATGACATGGTCCACACAGCCACAAGACAACTTTACCACACCCGGTTTTCTCAAGCATCCATTTAAACTGTGCCATGTTGAGAGCAGAACTGAGCATCCCCTTACTGCTTGAGTAAGGATAAGCTCTGGGCGGGGTGTTCTGGGCCGGCTCCCAACCCCCCTAGGGGAGCTGGTCCACGGCCAAGAGCTCCATCCTGGGGTCACCTGACTGGCAGTGACCCCCACTCCATGGGAGAGTTTCCAAGGCCAAAGCCCTTGGTTGCCACAGAGCTGCAAGTAGACTCTGAGGCCGAGGCGCCTTCCTCACTCAGGCACTGCGAATTCTTGTGCTGTGCCTGACTAAGGAAAATAACTGCGCCTGCGTCCTCGTGTGACAGTGTGTGTATGCAACTGACAAAGTAAAATAACTGTGCCTGCATCCTCGTGTGATTGTGTGTGTGAGAATGCAGTTGGAAAGGCCACGATGACACAGGAAATTCCTCTTTTTGAGAAGCAGTGTGTGCTCTCCTGAAAATTCTGACTGTCATCTATAAATAGTTTATCTCTCTTTCACATGCTCTGGAATTGCTAGGCAAAATGTCGAAGTTGTGTGAACCTGTCTTTAATTCATTCTCGCGCGGGAAGCAGAAGCCATGGTTGGTGTCTGAGCACCCCGGGCACTCATGGTGCCACCGGGCAGGGCCTCCACTGCAGGAGCCTGAGCGGAGCAGGGAGCCCAGCCACCGCGCAGTCGGACCTGGGGCCGCGGCGAGCGTGGCCCCCCTGCTGCCCGGATGCCCGCGCCCTGTTCCCTGGCACGCGGACCCACGCAGAGAGGCCCAAGCAGCCCCGGAAGTGATGGCCTGAGAGCACTTTGTTCAAAGGATCTAAAAAGCAAACCATAGGAAGGAAGGGACGAAGGGGGAGGAGGACAATAAAGATAAAACTACTGACCTAATTCTGTAAGAAACAGCCAACCAAACCATTTACCTGTATGGCCTCCAATGCTCAGTGTCATTGCATCATTCTTGTAAAGTAAAACAAACATCCTAATTAGCCAAACTTATCAAGAAGGGCTGGACTGTGGTCTCTGCTCTTTGTCCAGGGCTCCCCTAGGTGTCTCAAGCGGTAAAGAATCCACCTGCCGATGCAGGAGATACAGGAGATGCATGTTTGATCCCTGGGTTGCAAAGATCCCCTGGAGAAGGACATGCAACCCACTCCAGTATTCTTGCCTGGAAAATTCCATGGACAGAGAAGGCTGGCAGGCTATAGTCCATGGGGTTGTGTAAGTGGGGCACAACTGAGTGAGTGAGCACACACACATTCTTTGTTTTCAGTATCTGTAAGAAAATTGTATTTATATGAAATGTAAGTTTATATCTCTAAATTATAAAAATAGGTGCCATGCTGTAGAAATATGCTGAGATTACATTTGCTACATTAAATGTTAGCCCACCTATGAAAATCCTTGAGGGGAAAAAGCCTCTCTCCATGAACAAGATAAGCTACAATGTTGCTTTTTTCACTGATATTATGAAATCAATACTAGCCACCTTGTCTTCTTGGTTAGACTCCTCCACTGACCCCTGGACTGGCCCAGCTGCAGGATGGTGGACGGGAATGCCAGAGTCAGTTTGTTTGCTTGCGTTGTTTGGTGTTTTACTTTTCATGATGACAAGGAGATAATATAAATTCCATTTCAGTTATAAATCTCTAAAATGCTTTTTCAGAAATTTCCCACTAATGATTTGCTCTTACAAAAAATGCAAATAAGTGCAGCTGGGGCAGGTAGGAGGATAGTCAGGAAGCCCTCCGCCCCCAGGAGCTGGGAAAGGCAGCAGATCAGATCGCCCTGAGCACCTGTCGCAGTAGAAAGAGGCGGTGCAGCCCGAGGGGAACAGGGTGTGTCCAGTGTCGGGACAGCTGGCTATCATGAATCGGCTGTTTAAGGAGGGACCCCGGAAGGAGCTCAGGAAGTGTGGCGTGTGCGAGTGTGCGTCCTGCTCATGAATCGGCTGTTTAAGGAGGGACCCCGGAACGAGCTCAGGAAGTGTGGCGTGCGCGAGTGTGCGTCCTGCTCACACCACAGCCCTGCTGCAGCTCGACAGCCCCGTCCTTCCTCCAGGAGCCCTGCCATCTAGAGCTCACAGCTCCAGGACGCGGCGGCAGGGGAGGGGGTTGCTGAGAAGTAGGGGATGTGTGAGGCCGGAGTGAACCTCCCATCTCTTGGAAATCAGGTTCCAGACCCAGTCCTGCCTGGAGGGGAGCTGGTGAGCACAGACCCCCCAGACAGGGCTGGCCCCAGGCCCACGTTCTCCTGGAGTAAGTCGGCAGGGCCAAGTGACCTGGACCACCGTGCGTCCAGACCCCGATGTGTCCGTACAGACCCCAGGGCATCCGTCCAGACCCCCGGGGCGTCCATCCAGACCACGGTGCATCTGTACAGACCCCCGGGGCGTACAGACACGCGCGCCCCACGGCATCCCTTCCTGGTTCCGCGGCATCTCTTCCTGGTTCCGCTCCATCCCCGTGAGGGTCACTGCTGCCACTTGCCCACAGGCCTGCCTCCCAGGGAAGACGCGGACTCGGCTCTGAAGGTCGTCTCTGTTCCCCTCAGAGGCGCTCAGGCTGACTTGCCCCTTAAACACCGTCTGTGAACTTGGAACTTGGTTAACGTGGGTTCGTCCTGCAGGTAAACCATCACGAGTGTCTGTTTCTAAAACAGCAGGCCTGGCGCTAGACTCGAGTTTTTCAGGGCAGCTCCAGGACCACCTACCTGAGCATCACCTGGGGTGATTTTTTTCTCCATAAATTTGTGATCACCATCTGTGACCTATTATATCAGTGAGGGCCCGAGTGTGAACTTTTTAAATGAATACCCCACAGATTCTTATTGCGTCAGTGGAGGGTGTTTGTCCTCACCCACAGCCGCTCATCAAGCTGGTGAACCCCTGGCCTCCCCCACCCCCTCCTGCCTGGCGACCCCCTGCAGGCTGGCTGCCCACCTCCACCCTCTTCATGCCTGTGGGCCCCGGGAGCCTGGTTCTTGTTCTTTTCTTAAATCTCATTACCTGTGATCTGTGACCTGGCAAATATAATTACTTATTCTCTCTTTAACATTTTTTAAAATCTTTTTATTATGCATGATTCAAAGAGTGGCCAAACTCACTTTTTCTACACCCCATCAATCTTGCCTCCCCAGACGCAGCTTACTTTGAAGCATATCCATGCTAGTGTGTAATTTTATCTAGAGATACAGCAGTATAAATTGCTAAAATACGAAAGTTCTGTTTTATAAAAGCATAACCACCTACCAAACCTTAAAAAAACAAAGTCTTAATTATCAACTATTCAGGCAGGACTCAGAGTTCCAAGACTATCTCACAAGCTTCTGTGTAGAGTTTGCATCAAACTCGCGCTCAGGGTCTCTTGCTGGGTGACCGCAGTCCCTGCTTTGCCCCCACGGGTGCCCCCTCTCCTCCCAGCCATGTAAGCACAGCGGCGAAGCTGCCCACTTGGCCTGCAGAGGGGCCCGCCCACTGGCCTGGGCCGCGCCGCCTCTGGCGTGTCATTACTGTGTTCCTCTGACCTCTGTATCTCTGGGTCAGAGGCGTCGCGAGACTCAGATGTGACTCATGTGTCCCTGCATCAGAATGAGAGGGAAGCCTGCGGGGTCTGCCGTCCCCTCTTGTACTGCTACGCTGGGACGGGGGTCACGCGTCTTCAGCCTATCCATCTGTTAGAACGTCACCCACCAACCTTTTTGGTTGGTGATGCTCTTTACCACCCCCAGAGCTGCTCCAGGTTTACAGACTGGCCTCTACCACTTACCTTCACTGATTCGCTGGAATGCTTTCAGAAAGAGATGCTCCCTCCTCTACTGTCTGGCTCCTTTTCTATAAGAAAGCACGATAAATCCTTCTGGCCCTTTACCCTTTTCCCCAGTAGTGGCGTCCCTTCTCTTTCCATGAGGACTATGAACTCTAAGTGGGAAGGCATTTATTTGAGAAAAAAGTTGGTGTCTCAGGAAGTTTTCCTAGTGTTTGCTAAGCTTGCATCGTCTGACTTTTGCACATGTTTATACTGATGAGGACAGAACGGGTGGGTCCATGACAAGCATCATGTGCTGTGTGGTTGGCGCACACATCGTCTCATTAAAACCCCTCCACAGCCGTGAGGTCGCCACTCTGATTCTTTCTGTCTGCAGTGAGGAATCCGAGGTGTGAAGTGGATGGGTGGGGTCTTATCCACAGTTGTCCACCTGCAAAGTTGGAGCTCCAGTTCCAGGGCTGATCCAGCTCCGAGCATGGCAGACTGTGAACTCGTGAGCATCTTCCTGCATGTTTGTGGGGCGGGGGAGGACAAGGAAGCACTACCTAGAAGGATGTTCAAGGAAAAGCCTCCCTCAGCCATTTCCTGCAGAGAGTGTAGGCGGTTAAGGGGTAGAAGCTGGGGTTTATGGTCATCTGGGTGGTTAACTGGGCTGGAGGCTGCTGGGGGCTCCAAGTCCAGAAGTTGCTCCTGGCTTCTCCATCCCACAGGTGTACTTATTTACACAACAGAAGTTGTGGGCCCTGCAGCTTTGTGCAGTGGACACATGCCCACCTGCTGAAGCGCGGCGTTAAGTGTCAGCTTTGTTGACAAGTGGGCATGGGTGTGTGCAGGAGGGGAGCTGGCCCGAATGCAGGCAGCACCTTCGTCCATACTTCCAGAACACCTGAGACTGGAAGGGAAGCTCCGGCCATACCTGCTGTGCAGGTAACTTCAGGCTGTTTGCAGTCCGGCTGGACACCTCCCACCTCTTCCTGCGCCCCTGCGCCCCTGCGGAGCGTGCAGTCACTCCGTAGCTGGGCTCTGTTCAGTCTCGGTGCCAAGGAGTGCACAAGAGTCCAGAACCCTGGACTGCTGGACCTGTTCGGAGCTGGCAGTCACCTTGGGACTCCAGCCACAGCTCCACTTACCCGTGCCTGTAGTTCAGGTGAACGGCAGCTCCATCGGCACCATGCTGACCACTGCTGGCTTCGCCGGGTGTTTCCTGGGCCTGAGATGCTGGCTCCGCCTGAGTCCGGGGCAGGAGTCCCAGGGAGCACCTGCTGTCCCTGCCCTGGCCGTTCACTACAGCCGTCTGTCCTTATTAACCTGAGACGAGCAGAAGGACTCCTTTCATGCTATCAGCAGTCCTTTCAGACGTTAGATTGCACTTCTTCCACAATTATAGAGTGAAAGTCACTCAGTCGCGTCCAACTCTTTGCTACCCCATGGACTATATGTTCCATGGAATTCTCCAGGCCAGAATACTGGAGTGGGTAGCTGTTCCCTCCTCCAGGGGATCTTCCCCACCTAGGGATTGAACCCAGGTCTCCCACACTGCAGGAAGATGCTTTACAGCTGAGCCACCAGGCAATCTCCCGTGATTAAGACTATTTAGCTCCCTGCCACCAGTCCCAGGGCCTCAGAGAGCAACAGATCAGCCTGTAGGTTAGGATGCAGACCTTCAATTCAAACATTCTCTGTCCCCCGACTTCCAGGGAACAGAAACTCTGGTTCCACCTGCGTCCTCCACCTGTCACGGGAAGACCGGGAGATGATGACTCACTGCCACTGCCGTCTGTGGCTCCATGTCGATGTTTATGTATGGTTTCAAGTGTGTGTGCGTGTGTGTGTACACTGCGTGTGTGTACACTGCGTGTGAGCCAGCGTGCCTGTGCATTCATGTGCACGTGTTATGTAAGGACAGTGAGAGGGAGCGGGAAAAGCAGAGCCCCACGTGAGAACAGAGCCCATGTGCACTCATCCAAATCCCGGCTGGAGTCAGCACGGCGACGGAGGCTGGCTGGGCTTCTGCTCTAGGCTCGTGTGGGGGGACCGGGATGCTAAGTGTGGGTTCTCACCAGGCCTGTGGGTTTTGTGGAGAGCAGCTCAGGGGTGACAGCCTGGAGCATGCACATTGCTGGTGAGGTGACTCCCTGCCAAGGGCACAGCTTCACGCTCCCTGTGACTCTGCCAAGGCTTTCCTTGCAGGTTTTCCTCCCAGGAAACAAGAACAGGGAATCAGAAGTTTTTTAACTTAAATCTGCCTGGCAAGAGCCAAGCGTATTTAAGATTCATCTCACTGACAACACCAAAACCCACCGGCCGGGCTCCGGCGTGATCTGGGCGCGCTGTTTGCTGCTTTGGCTCACGGGACAGCTGCGATGCAGGAGAAGAGAGCTTTAGGGACCAAAGCCACCTAAATGCAGCCGTGAGAGCAGCCAGCCCACCCAGATAGTGAATACAGTATTCTCGAGGTCACTGGACAGAGAGGACTGGGACCCACACAAGGACCAGGTGTGAAGTCCCTTTCAGGGCTCAGCGTGTGACTCAGATCTGAAGTCTGTGACATTCTGAAGATCTGCACAGTGGTTCCTTTGTCTGCTTTGCTTAAAGTTTATGGAAATAAGACCCAGTCTAGTCCTAAGAGAGACCCTGACTACTGCTGACAAATCTCAAAGACTAGCCAGTGTGATAACAAGCTCAGCTTGAAAACACATTTCTATAGCAACAGACATTTTCTCTTAAATTAAATGAAAGCAAAAGCAAAGCATCCCATCCTATAAGAAAAGCATATAAAATTTAAGAAGGAAAACCATGGCATTTTTGCTTTCTTGGAATATTCATGAAATGTGTATGGTTTTCTCAATTTCCATCTGGTGTCTTTTCTCATATGTCCAATGCATATGTCATCCAAACTTCTCATGAGTTCTGACTTTGTCAATAAAAAAGATATTAAAATGGTGTTCTTTGTGAAAATCATAGTGAAATTGAATGTATGGATGTGAGAGCTGGTCAATAAAGAAAGCCGAAGAATTGATGCTTTAACTGTGGTGCTAGAGAAGACTCTTGAGAGTCCTATGGATAGCAAGGAGACCAAACCAGTCAATCCTAAAAGAAATCAACCCTGAATATTCATTGGAAGGACTGATGCCGAAGCTAAAGCTTCAGTACCTTGGCCAC